CGGCTCAGGGTTGACTCAGCCTTCCATCCTTCCGAGGTGGGTAAAATGAGGACCCAGATTGTTGGGGGCAATATGCTGACTCTCTGTAAACCGCTGAAGCGGTATATAAGTCTATTGCTATAAAAAAAAAATAGAAGAAGTATGGAGAATCTTATCAAACCTAGACCTTTGGCTGGGTTTGTGCACCCCAATGTTGTCTTCGCTTTTTCTCTCTGACTTAAAAAGTTTGGAAGAGTTGATCAAGTATAAGGCATCCATCCTCCAGTTCCAAAACAGTAGAAACTGTAATTAATAGGTTAAGCTTTAACTTAATAGATTTAACTTAACTTAAGGTTTAAACGAGTAAAATTTAATACTTTAAATTCAATCCTAATTGTCTGGAAGATTATTCAAGTATGAAATGAATTAACATTTCTCATCTTTTACTAGTTGCTCTAAGTGCATCTAAACACACAACTCCATTCATTCATTCATTCATTCATTCATTCATTCATTCATTCATTCATTCATTCATTCCAGATCTCTGCTATTTACCTGATAAAGAATTAGAGCTGATTTGAAAATTTGCAGTACTGTTGCTTTTCACAATTACTGAGAGCTATAAAATAAGGCCAATGGTTATCTGAATGCTTGGATCTACAGTACATTCTAGATTCCCCCCCCCCATTATTTACACAGTCAGAGTAATGTATTTGTTCATTTTTCCAGGCTACAGAGAATTGTGTGTGCGTTCTACATAATCTTTCTTACCAGTTAGAGGATGAACTCCCTAATCATTATACTGAGAAACTCTATGTGCCAAAAGGGGATGATCCATCCAGGAACAACATTGGATGTTTTGGAACAAGGAGCAGGAAAGCAAAGCAGGTAACAGAGATGTAAGGAGGGAACAACAGTTTTGTGATAGACTGCCCAACATCTCTGAGAAACTTTTGTCTGAAACTCATACTTACCCATAATGAAATATCCCTAGAAGGATCTTATTGGGAATTCTGGGAATTTTAATCTTAATAGAGATGATGGATACTACTTTGAAGGTTTACTAATATAGAATATATATGTAATATGTAGACCTATTGGGTGAAAAAGATCCCTTACATATGAAGCAATATTCATAAAATAAAGATAAGTAGTCCTTGATAGTAAGGGAAGAAAATCTGAAAAGTACAGATGGGGATTATTCTGATGCATTCATGCATGTGTTATGTACCATGGATGCATTCATGCATGTGTTATGTACCATCAAATTGTCATTAACTCTTAGCAGCAACAAAGACAGACCTTCTCCAGGATGAAATATCTTTATTAGGACTAAACCAGAATGCTATAGAAAACTTGCTAATCTTATAAAACCATTCATCAGGCCCGGTGGTATAAAGTTGGTCTAAAGTGGTATAAAGTTAAGTGCACCAAGTTTGTAAGACTTCAAAGACAAATTTGTTAATCTAGTTTTTCAGATGTCTCCTTGCCCCAAATGTTCTGTGGATCTAACAATTAATTAAGATTATGAAGATGGAGCCAGAGTAACTAAAAGAGAGGGGTTAAATCATATAAAACCAGATACATCACTGAAAGCTGAAATCATAAGACTATATCTAATTTACTTTGGCCATGTTATTCATATGAATTCATTGGAGAAGACAATGATACTAGGAATGGTTAGTGGATAGAGAAGAAGGAGCAAGCAAAGAACCTACTGGCTTGATAACATCATATCTGATGCAAAGTTGAACATAAAACAATTGAAAGAAGCTGTGCATGACAGAATAGCACTTGGCTATAAAGTCACCAAGAGTTGGACACAACTAAATGGTTAAAAACAACAACCTAAAGATGGATTTCTAACTTATAGAAAAATATAGCCATTAGATGTGAATTTCTTTCCTCTTTAAATACTCTCTTTTTTAGATGATAATAAAACTGGTCATCCCCAGTAATCATGAGTAATCAGCAGATGCATTAATAATCTCATTTCGCTCGTTGTTCTTAATGATCAGTCTTTATATGGCTGCTCAAATAGGGGTTACAGCCTATTATGAGGCATGGTGGTCAAGTGGTTAGAGTGCAGTACCGCAGGCTACTTCTGCTGATTGCCAGCTGCCNTTTTTGATGTTAGGTGTCCATTTTAGGTCTTGAGATATTATAGAACCTAGAAATTTGAAGGTCTCCACTGTTGATAGTGTAATGTGTAGTATTGTAAGAGGTAGTAGTATGGAAGGGTTTCTCCTAAAGTCTACCTACCATTTCTACGGTTTTGAGTGTGTTGAGTTCCAGACTATTCCGGTCGCACCACGAGGCTAGTTGTTCAACCTCCTGTCTGCATGCGGATTCATCATTGTCTCGAATGAGACCAATCACTGTTGTATCATCTGCAACTTTGAGTGATCACTAAAAATGGTTGTAAGTCACAAATTACCTGTGCTAAGAATGCCATCCCATCTTAGCTTCCAGGTCCAGGGGAAATCAGTAAGAAACTTCTACCTACTAAAACTTCCTTTCTTTTTTCTTTCTTTTCTCTCCTTCCTTCTTCCTCCCTTTCTTTTCTTCCTTCCTTCTTCCTCCCTTTCTTTTCTTCCTTCCTTCTTCCTCCCTTTCTTTTCTTCCTTCCTTTTTTCTTTTGTTCTTTCTTTCTCTTTCTTTCCTTCCTTTCTCTTTCTTTCTTTCTATTTTTTATACCTATCCATCTCAATCAAGTGATTTTTTTTCAGATCAGACCATATTCAGAATTATAGTTTACTGTTCTGTTTATGAAATATGTCATTCAGATCTTTTTTAAAAAAAACTTGCATTTCAGGTGAGATAAAATTAAAAGGTAATATATAGAGCGGTATGCAGCCCTCACTTCAGGCATCCATTCAAGGAATAAAGCAGGGGGAGGGACAGACACATTTTTAATGTCTTAAAATCCATGAAAAAGGACATTTTTGACTTGGCTTTGCACCCCTTCTTGACAGTCTTCCATGGCTGCTAAGACCACAAAGCAACAATCCCATTTTGTTTATCCAACATCAGATAATTTCCTTTTTGCTAGAGCTGCGGCTGTGAGGTTAGTTTTGAAATGCACTCAGGGTGCTCCAATCCAAGCAATGGATTTCAGAATTCCACCCTTATCTCTCTTGTTTTATTTAGCTCTCGCCACACAACTATTTCTCTATGCACAAGAAAAGCTGTTGCAAACATGCCACTGTCAACAGTGTTTGCAAACTGGCAAAAGGGTGAACGTGCCCTTTCAAGTGTAGCCATAGCTTTGTGAAAACGCATAATCATATTTTTTTTCCACATCAATAATGAGCTGGGAGCTAACTGAGCAAGAGGAAACAGCTTTGCAGCAGGCAGGAGAAACCCAACAAAACCAGAAGCCGTTTTTATTGAGGGCCTGGTACACATTCTCCCCTGCCTCCAAATAATCCCAACTAAAAAGTGATCCTTTGTACTTCAAAAAGTAATCGATTAGCAGGACTTTCTGGGATTATCGTGTCTGTTTTTTCAATATACGAGGAAAAAGGTGGTTTATCCTGTAGGGTTTTGAGTGTATCTTTCTTGTAAGATGTTAACCTGTTGCTGCTTGAATGTTTACTTCTTGCTTGCTTTGTTTTGCTTCTTTTATATTTAAATTGGAAGTGTGTTTTCACACAGAAGGATAGGATTTTGATGATATCTCTCACTCTCTCCACTGCTCAAGGACAGAGTCCTGCTTTGATTGTGCAACAGGACAGTCCCAGTTGCAAAGAAAAAAAATCTTTGGAAATTTTGGGTAACTCCCACCATTTGAAGAATCAAAAAATATGCCCAGCCCCCTCCCCTGAAAAATAGTCTAGGGAAAACTGTTCTGAGCAGCAAATGAATGAGAAATGGAGTGTGGGGAAGGAAATACAGGTAGTCCTCAATTTAAGACCATATCTGAGCCTGCCCATTTATGATTGAAGTCATGATGGTCACAAAGTAGATCATAGTATGACTGGATCTGATTGTACAACCTATTTTTTAACGGCAGCTATAAAATACATACTGTGGTTATTGAGCAAACACCATAGTTGTTAAGCAGATCTATTGTCACTATAGAGCTTCCTCCCCCCACAGGAACTGAAAGTAAGCAACCAGTTTCTAGGGGGGGGGATGTCATAAATTATGGTCATGTGATCACGGGACATTGCCAGCTGTTTCCTGAGTGCTCAAAATGTGGTCACATGGGGAAGGCCAACATCAGAACTTCAAAAGCCAGGTTGTAAGTAGCTGTTGAGGGATCCGTTGTAACTTTGAGCAGTTGCAGTATGAGGAACTATCTGTGTAATATCAGCAAAGAGGAATGAAGTACAGTAGAATGGCTAGAATCCCAAATAACAAGCACACTGTGCAACAAACATTTTGAAGCTTCTTGTAAAAGAAAAAAAATATTATTTAATGCATGTTCCTCTCATTTGCGGAGTCAATGGGAACGCTTGAAAGGGGAAGATTGAGTAGCAGTAAATGATGCTTAACTTCTCCAAAGCACCTGAGGGAAGGACAAGAAGCAATGGATAGAAACTAATCAAGGAGGGAAGCAGTGTAGAACTAAGGAGAAATTTCCTGGCAGTTAGAACAATTAATCAGTGGAATAACTTGCCTCCAGAGTTGTGAATGCTACAACACTGGAAGTTTTTAAGAAGATTTGTCTGTGGTGGGGTAGGGTTTCCTGCCTGAGCAGTGGGTTGGACTATTCCATTCCATTCCACTTCACTCCACCCCACTCCACTTGACTCAACTCATGTTTGAAGACTTCCAACTCTGTTATTCGATTCTACTCAACTCTACTCTACTCTACTTGACTCGATTCGACTGGACTCTACTCTATTCTGCTGTCCCTGCACACATGTTTCATCTTGCTCTAGATAGCCAGAGAGACCGACCTCTGGATTTTGGAGGGAGAAATGAAAAACTAATCATAGAGGGCATTTATAAGATAATGTGGACAGTCAGAGGAAGAGCCCCTTTCTGCCTTCAGACTCACTGTCAAAATCAATTCAAAAGAGAAAAGGGATGCAGAAGGAAGAGAACATCAAAGTGATTTAATAGTAATGTAATTTTATTGACATTTTTAAAAAAGAAATACAGAGAAAACTCTATACAAAAACAAATTTTAAGAAGAACAAGCAAAGTGCACACATTTCACAAATAGTATGATCTCCAACCTGCTCACTGTTATATAAGTGGGTCAAATTTCTGAAAATGCTTTTATTGATCTTCAGTTATACAGTGTAGAAACAACGGCTCTTATTTGAGCTGTCTAACAGAAATCTGGTTTAGAATAATCATAGTCTCTGTGCAGAACATTGCAACGGTTTCAGACGTTACTGTCTGTTCTACAATATATTTAACAGATGGGTTTTAAAGGCGTCTAAGTCAATTAACTTGGGTATATCTAATTCTGTATAGATTTGGGCTGCCTGGTAAGGGTGCACACATCTGTCATTTTGTAGTTGGTGTTGCCACTATGCAAGAGAAGCATTAAATTTGCTTTCCCCTGTGACTATCAAAGTGGTTTCCTTGTTACATAAATTGGAACTAATGAGCAAATGTTTTTATTCACTGCTTAAGATAATTGCCAGAATGTACAATGAATGATTTTCTGTTGAGAAGCAAATGTCGGGCTGTGCAATCTTAAACTTGTCTATTCAGAGGGTAAAGCCCCACTGATTTACTGCCTGTTCAACATATATAGAATTACAGTTTAATTACAAGAGATGAAAAATAAATAAAATGGTTTTTTTAATCATAGAATCTTGTTTTCTGTAAATTAAGCCAAATGGTTCAGCAGAAATCTGTCCCCTTACTGGTTATAAATCTCTACTGAACATACTTCTGAATTAAATGCACTCCACATTGTTCTTAAAGGATGAAGCTTTGTGTTAAATATGAGTAAAGAATTAAAGTAATAGATGTTGATTTGGAGTTTGAAAGACTGCATCAATCGATGGGGACTTTCAGAAGAAAATATTTTAGTAGTGTATGAGTTTTATACCAAAATCCTTCCCTCCCAAGGAGGCATTCAGAACAATTGAAAGAACTTTGATAGCTTAATCTGCTTGGTAATGCTGACATTCTTTTTTGTTGTTATTCTTTTTCATACCAACCATGCAAAAGGAAGAAAAACAACATTCACGTTTTAGATGTCTATGGACATTTTCAGTAATCCAGATCATAATTGTTTCAAAGGTGCTTTTTCAAAAGGCAGCTGGACTGATTTTTCTCGAGGGAAAAGAAGACATGTTGCTTCTCATCCAAGAAGCTTCATCAGTTGTGCAGAATGTTTTCTTTCTCAAAGGGGAAAAAAAAAACCAGTTCAGATGCCTTTCAAAAAAATCACCTTTCAGTCATATTCCAAATCTATGTTTCTAATTTTAAGTGCATTTTATAATGGCATCCTACGTCACAGGTTTGTTTTCTGCAAATAGATATTTGGTATAATTTATATGGTGCTTTTTAACATATTTTAAGTAAAGTTATATATAATTTATATATAACCCTCTTCAAAATATTTTTTAAAAAACTGAGCCATATTCTTATTAGTTTAGTTTACTTTATTGTCATTGCACCTTGTACAATGAAATTAAATGGGATCTTCAGTGTACAATGACAGTTCAGGTTGTGGTTGTTAAGGAATCATGTGCAAGTAATTAAGCACAACATCAGGTGGTGGCTGGTTTCCTTATTGACTTGACTTACTGGAAGCTGGCAGTGATGATGTGACTGTAGGAAGCTGTGACCATTGCAACTGTGTGTCAGTTGCCAAGTGGATTGGGGCTGTGACTGTGGGGACACTGCGACTGCCACAACTTCAAGGACTGGCCATAAGTCTTCTTGTTGAGCACTGTTGTAACTTCGAATGGTTGCTGAACAAGAAGTCACTAAGTGAGGACTATCCGTATAGTCAAAAGTCCTTCCCTGTCTTTCATGGTTGATGAAGCATAATGATACCCCTGACTACCACAATCAGACCAACCACTTGGTTGTCCAGGGGTCTCTGGCTTCTGGCAAAACCATGTCTTCATGCTTGTTGAAGGAATGTCATGGGGGTTAATATGGTGGTGGGGGCTTTATCTATATTCAGTCTAGAATGTGGGCACATCATAGAGATTAAGGTAATCCTTGGTTAGTTGGGTCCGTAATGCTAATCACTAAATGAAATAGTCATTACATGAAACATTATGTGACTTCATCACATAGCAACGGCAGTTACGGTAGTCCTGGTTACAGTCATTAGATAAGGACCTCCTGCTTCTCCTACCCTAATGTGCTCATCTCTGCTTCAACATTTCCACCCACCTATCTTGCCCTTATCTCTCTTCTGTTGGCCACCCTGCAATCCACCCCTACTGCATCTCCATCCCTGGTTGACCTTCACTACCTTCTTCCTCCTGCTGACAACGAGGCACATCTGGCTAAAACAGATGCTGGCCCTTGGTGAGGTATCTATAGTGCCTTCATGGTGGCATCGCCCAGCTTCACAGAGGCTTCACCAATAGCTACCAGCTGCTTTGGCTGGAAGTGCCTCAGTGGTATGGGAGACGGAAGATACTCCTAGGACCAGCAGTGGTTGGCAGTGGCATTAGAGCAGGAGAGCCAAAAGAGAGAGATAAGAGGGAGATAGGCAAGAGAGGGGTGAAATGCACCTTGCAATCATAAGTATGGAAGGTTGCCCAGCACCCAAATTTTCATTGCTTGACCATAGGGGAGTTGCAATAGCTGTAACTTTGAGCTGGGTGGCACAGTGGTTAGAATGCAGTATTGAAGCCCAACTCTGTCACAGTCAGGAGTTCGATCCTGACTGGCTCAAGGTTGACTCAGCCTTCCATCCTTCCAACATCAGTAAAATAAGGACCGAGATAATTGGGGAAGTATCTGACATTTGTAAATTGCTCAAAGAGCATAATTTACAATTATGTAAAGCACTATGGAGCAGTATATAAGTCTAGGTGCTATTGATATTTGAGGCCTTTCAATAAGTAGCATTTGTTCTGCACCATCATAACTTTGAGTATTCGCTGAACAGATTATCATTAAGTGAGGACTATCTGTAATCTATCTTGTATGAAAGAAACAGATTCTGAGCCTGACATTAAATAAGGATGAACAATAAAGCCAAACCTGGATGCAATGTTTCTAAGCTGAAGCCGTAGACCAGTGGTGGGTTGCTTTTATCGTCATTACTGATACACTGCTCGTGGTCTGTTCATGCACACGCTGGACGTGCGCTGTGCACGTGCCTGATGTGTGCTGTGCACGCATGCGTAATCCACCATCCCTGCGACAACCAGATGCTTGCTGGAGCTCACGCAGGGGCTGCACGCTGTCCGTGCGTGTGTATTTTGCCCTTTCCCATAAAAACAGCTATAGAGGNACAAAGAAGGCCCTTCTTCTGGGTCTCACCAGGTGTATCTCCCTAGGGGATGCATTGCACATACTCAATTGAAGGCTGGTGATGTCCTCTCTTAGTCATCCTAAATACTTATGAGATGGGCTGTATGGTCCAATTTCTCTTTCACCAAAACAACAGGCAAGACTGCTCCATTTACAAGTTAAGGTACATGAAAAGACAATATAGGCATGAGAAGATACTGTGGGTCTGCACTGCATGTAAAAGCAAAGGTGAAAGACTCCAGAATACCTGACAAGAGCACTGAAAAGTAGCATGTTAAGAATGGTTTAATTATTTATATTACTCAAACAGTCATAAAATGTCCTTGTTTGTTGTTTAAATTGAATTTATACCCTGTACATGCGACTCACTCTCCTTAACAGCTCAGTGCAACTTGTTTCATGTGGCTGGTGAGAAATACAATCTGTCCCTCTCCACTCAAATGACTTTACAATCGGTTTTTTAGGAATACGTGCACAGGAGATATTTATTTAGCCTTCCCACACCCATCTCAACAATGCATTCTTTCTAGGAGAAGTTAAGAGACTCACCAGAGGGTGTGACCTTCTTGGTGTGTTACTGTGAAATTCTGTTTATTGTTGCAATGCTGAACACTCTTGTGAAAGGCAGAGAGGATGTGTCAAATCCCATTCCAGCTGCCAATTCTTTTCGGTGTAATGTTTTTACTTTAGTCTCTGCAGTAATTATAACATGGCATCAGATCTAGGTGGACCTAGAAACCAAATACAACATACAAGATACACGACAGGGAAGCTTTTCTGAAAATAAACTTGGTTTGTTTGGGTTAAATTCCTGCCTGGTATTCCAAACACATCCTTGTATTAGTCCCGCATGATAGATTTAGGTGTGTAGTTAAAAATACGGAATGATTCCACATGCGATCATAAAAATAAAATTTTGTAATCTTACTCCACATACAAGGAATCATATGCAAAAGGAAGCTTGCTGCCACATCAGCACATTCTTNCCATAGTTCAAAGGCCTCAATTCTTTGGCGCTCAGCCTTTTCTAGATCTGTTCTCCTAGCCACCCTTCCTTTCTAAGGAAACCATCAGTATCGCCTGCCACAGAATTCTGCTCTTCTTTGGAGGTGGGGATGTTTTCTTAATACTTGACATGCCTTTGTTTGGGGACTGACAATAATAACAATCCACTTTCTGGAAGAGAATTATGCATGGTACACAAGATTCTATGATATGGAATGGCGAATTCTAAAAGCTGTATGTGTTTCCTGACAGATGCCATTTGGGGTGGCTCATATCATTGTCAAGAAGGCCAATGGACTCCCAAATATTATAAGCATGCTACATGTGAGCAACGTAAGCGTCAGGAAAACAGCAGTCTCCTTACTCAGGAACTTGTCTCGTAACACCTTGCTGCACAATGAAATAGGTAAATACACACTCCAAATGAAGACTATTTGCATGGGTTTAAATTGCATGATAGCATGCTAATGATGTTGAACTAGACCTGGGTATGTCTAGTTCAATGAAAAGAAGGACTAGGGGAGACATGATAGCAGTGTTCCAATATCTCAGGGGCTGCCACAAAGAAGAGGGAGTCAAGCTACTCTCCAAAACACCTGAGGGTAGAACAAGAAGCAATGGGTGGAAACTAATCAAGGAGAGAAGCAACTTAGAACTAAGGAGAAATTTCTTGACACTTAGAACAATTAATCAATGGAACAACTTTCCTCCAGAAGTTGTGAATGCTCCAACACTGGACATTTGTAAGAAGATGTTGGATATCCATTTGTCTGAAGTAGTGTAGCGTTTCTTGCCTAAGCAGAAGATTGGACTAGAAGACCTTCAAGGTCCCTTTCAATTCTGTTATCCTATTCTGTTCTAAAATCAAAAGAGGGCATAAATTTGATATATTGTGATTACCTTCAGCGGAAGATTCCAACTATTTCTTCAATAAGCTATCAAGGCTGAGAGTGAATTGCATCCAGTTTAATCTTTTTGAAGTGATAAGGTTGATATGTAATGGCTAGCCACAGGACAATATTTTAGTTGTTTGGGAATCAGAATTGGACAGGTATGGTGGCATCCACTAGTTTTCGCCAAATTGTGAATCTCCAAATGTGTTGAGGGCCCAAATCGCAGAAGAGCTGCAGCCATTTGAAATGTTGGGAATTTGGAAGCCCTACAAAATTTGGAGGCCTTCAGATTATGACAGATTCGCCAATTCTGTTATCCAACTATATGCCTACTCATAAATCCCAACATTTTCATGAAGTAAATTTTCAGGGGCGGAGGGATTGGAAAAGTTTCCTTAGAACTGAATAGTGTACTAAATAGATACAAGCAGGTTTTGAAGAACGTGTGATGGGTATATTTAAACTTTAGAATAAGGGCACATCTTGGTTATTTTCCAGCCAGAGTACTATTGCCAGAATTGATGGCCATGCTGCCAAATTATGTCCCAACGTCCAATGTGGACAACGATATTGCGGCTTCTGCTTGCTATGCTTTGTACAACCTGACTCAAAACAGTTCCTCAAACGCTCGGCTTCTCTTGAACAATGATGGCGTTTCAAAGGTTATTAATATCAGCCAAAGTGACAAGTAGGTATCCATTCCTAAAATAAATGTCTGTAATACTTAAGTTTGCAGCAAAAAGTTGCATGAAGAAGAGAATTTTTTCTGTTCTTGTTTCTTTAAAAAAAAAAACATGTTTAAAGGGAATCTGAAAATACATATTTTTATGGCCTATGGTCTCTTCTGCCTGTCCTTTTCCTGTGCCCTTCCTTTGGACCTTTCATTTTCCCTACTAGGTTTCTTTTGAGTTGAAATTCTGTGAAATGTTTTGTTCTTTTCAACTCCATGCTGGTACAATGCTGAACTGCTTTAAAAGTTTTTTTTTTACTGTTGCTCCCAGCAAAAGTGGCAGAGCCGCCTCGATCCTCTTGTATTCCTTATGGTCTCACACTGATCTCCATAGTGCTTACAAAAAGGTAAGTTGGCAGACAAGACGGGAATCTTTTGAAACGGCTTTACAAACCTTTGGGTTATTTTTCTGAGGTCCCTGTTAAAAAAATCCACATTCTGGCCAGCTCAACCAACGCCTTTTCAATCTAAAGACATGAGCCATGCCACGTTTTGTTTTTCCTCCTTGGTATCGGTTTTCTTTATTTTTAAAGGAATGTCCTACTTTAACTTATTTTTGTTATTCGAAATATTTCAAGATTGAACCCTAATTAACCCTATTAGAGATTTGGAACTGTTAATTAAAATAGAAATCCATGTACTTTTGTTGGGTTTACCATGGTGCTACACTCACCGTAGAAAATGCTTTTGTGAATAGCATACGTAAAACATTTTTTCAACTAGAAAGTAGCATTTACTAACACTTTCTGCTCTGCTTCTGCATTCTTTTGGACAGGTAACACCTGTTTTCCCCATAACCCTTTTTAGTTTTGTTTTTTTCAAACAATGAGAGAGTGTCCTAGAGACAACACAACCAACATAGCTCCCCAAAGGCTTCCAAGTTGTTGAAAGATTTCAGACTGACCAATGAGCAAGAAAGTATTCTTTTCCATGTTAGGTTTCTCAGATATCCCACCTTTAAATCACAGGACCACAAGCGAAATCCCCAGGGCTGCATTTAGCTGTAAAAGTCTTAGGGCAGTCTCAAAAACGGAATGATCAAATTGTCACTTGTAATGTGACCAAAACTAATGAATACATAACAGGAAAGTAATTCCATCAAATATGTTTCATTTCAATTAAGTGTGAATGAAACTGAAAAAGGAAATTTTGATTTGCCCCGGACCAATTTTAGAACATAGCCTCCAGCCTACCAATCAAAAACTAATCGTGGCAACTAATTAGCCCAACAGAGGTTGCAAGTTCCTGTTTTATTTTGCAACATTCAGTTTGTTTCTGTCAATGGCAACAAGCCCATTTAAATTACTAGAAATTTTCCACGTATGTAAATACAATATACACCATCAATCGGTATCAAATTAAATGTAATTTTAATTGCATGATTAACTTCTGTGTTTACTTTTTTATGTAATACTACAGGTGGTTGTTTTCATAGGGATCACAATGCACTCCTCCCTATCTCGTCACAATCCTGACAAATACATATTTGTATATGTTTATTTATGATCACAATAACAATCTAGGCTAGTTGTCTCACATCTGGTACTCCCAAAAGTGTTGAGACTGCAGGTCTCCAAATTACTAGGCAGCATGACCAACAAATAGAGGCCCATAGATATGAATAGTTGGTCTACACCCTCCTGAGTCCCAATCTAATTTAAGTGTCTTTCAGATCCACACTAATTTAAATCAATTAAACCAACCTCAATCCAATCCAATAGAAAAAATGAACTGATATTCTTTCTAGGCTCCCAAAGTAGCTTCAGTAGGGTGTGCATCTCATTCAGTGGTGAGATTCAAAAAATATTATTACCGGTTCTGTGTGCGTGGCTTGATGGGCATGTCTTGTGGCCATGGCAGGGGAAGGATACTGTAAAATCTCCATTCCCACCCCACTCTAGGGGAAGGTTACTGCAAAATCCCCATTTCCTCCCGATAAGCTGGTACTCGGGATGCAGACAATAGATTGGGGCGGGGCCAGTTAGAGGTGGTATTTTCCGGTTCTGAACTACTCAAAATTTCCACTACTGGTTCTCCAGAACTGGTCAGAACCTGCTGAATACCACCTCTGATTTCATTCCTAATATATGTTTAATAATTTACCTTTGTGTTTTCAGGGAGAATTTACCTCAGTGTTCCTGAAATTGTAAACTATATTCCATTTCCTTTTATTTTATTTTTATTTTAAAGGCTGGATATAAGAAACTGGATTTCATCAACAATCGAACATTAAGAGCCTATAATTTACTGAGAGACTGAAAACCTGGAGGGGTCTTAAAGATCTTTGTGGAAAAACAATACAGACATGTTAGCATCGTTCACTCAGTACCAAGAACTGAGAAAAAGTGAAAGAGTGTTTTATATTTACAAATGATGTCTGGAATAAAGTGCTAATCCCCATATTATCTGCCATTATAGCCGTGTTTATTGTTCTTAAAATCAAGACTCATCTATAAACATAATGAAATCCAAGCTGAGGCCTAACAAATAATTTTAATATCTGAAACTGACAACCACGTTATACTCGGTCAGTTTGGGGGCAATTGTCCACATCAATGTCTTCATTTTGTATTATGGGAAAGTAATAACCAAAGAAGATGGGATGCGGGAACTCTTGCCGAAGTCTTGTGTTAGTTTTCCTTTTGCTAAACTTATTAGAGTGAGTGAGTGCTTCATGCAAAACTGCCTCTTATCTGCAGACATTTTATGAATGTGCAGACTTTTGTATAAACTGCTTTTGAATAATATTTTTCCAGGTTGTAATTTTTTCAGTATAATCCTGCATGTATGATTACTGTTTTTTTTAAAAACTGAAGTATTGTTGAAGATGTTTTTTAAAATTCCCTATACTTGCACCCTGAATTTTTCAGTGCAGGAGACTTTTCAAATTTTGTTGTGTAAAATTTGTTCCAACAATGCCAAGTTGCTATCTTAGAGTGTGGTCTCTTTTATGATAGTTTTGACCAGAGAAACCAAATGTTTCTAATGCTTTTAACTATAACATTCATCAGGAATAAGCATCTGGTGTGTTTGTGTGTTAAAGAGAGAGAGAGAGAATGTGTGCATGCGTGCGTGTATGTGTGTATGTGAGAGAAAGGGAGAGAGAGATTATTTGTGATGCTGTCATCATACAAAAGATGCAATTAATGCACATTGCACAAGTAGCATCATTTGCACCATTATGTCACCGAGGTAAGATAGGTGGTGTAGAAATTTAATAAATACTATAAATAAAATATGAAAATAAATAAACTTTGTCACGCTAACTCCTACCCGACAACTATCAACTATGTAAATTGCATTTATTTAGGAAATTTATTTATTTAGGAAAATTTATATTGGCGCCTATTTGCACATGGCGACTCAAGGCAGCTTACAAAAATATAAAAACCTCATATAAAAAACAATAAAACTAATAAAAGAGAGAATCATATAACAAATTAATAAAATAGTACAATAAAATAACCCCTCTCCCCGCTGACAACATGTCACATAAGCCATTTAACGGTCTCCATCCCACTCTGGGTTCCCCAGGCCCGCTGGCAGAACCAGGTCTTCAGCGCCTTCCNGCGTAATCCACCATCCCTGCGACAACCAGATGCTTGCTGGAGCTCACGCAGGGGCTGCACGCTGTCCGTGCGTGTGTATTTTGCCCTTTCCCATAAAAACAGCTATAGAGGGCGGGTGGGCCAAATGAGCCACCGTACCGGTATGCTCTCAGTTGCTCCCGGCCACTACTGGTACACCCCTACCAGGCCGAAACCTCAGCAACCCACCACTGCCATAGACGTAAAAATGGAATCTTCTGTTATAAAATCCTTCACAAAAATCAGAGCTAAGAAACTGATGTGTAATATTCTTGTGATCAATTTTATTACCTTATTTACAGAAACATGAGCTCTGCTGGCCCTGAAGGGAGAAAGAAAATGAGGGAATGTGATGGATTGATTGATTCGCTGGTATATTATATACAAGGAACAACTGCAGATCGTAAACCAGATGATAAGGTAACTTTTCCAAACCAGTGAAATCTCTGGGATTAAGATAGAGAGCATTTCTCTCTGGCACTGTCTCCAAACTGTGTTGATATTCATCCCCTCTTATAAATCACCTAACGACTTTATGCTGTGAGTTTTGGGGACATTCCAATGTTTTAAAAGTCCTTGAAAATCTAGCTGTTTTCTCAAGCTTTGAGATAGGGTGATTGCTGAATCACTGTACTTACTCTGATTTTCTCCTCTGGGCATCCATGAACTGTTTCTTAATTTTTATTGTTTCTTGCTTTTAAAGGGTAAACTGCCCAGAGTCATTTGGAATCAGGCAACTGCTGAAATATATGAATAATAAATACATCTCCAGCTATAAAATTCTTAGTTCCATGTTAATATATTCTGCTGAAAATAACTTGCTTGAGATTACCCAAAAGCACCACTACAAGGCACAAGCACCACATAGGCTAAAATACTACCGGAGATCTACAACTTTGCATCCTCCAGATGCTGTTCTCATGTTCTCAGCCATAGTGGTTGGTAATGGTGGGAAGAGTTGTTATGTCTGGATGGTGCAAAATAGAAAAGAGCCAAGGTGGCGCAGTGGTTAAATGCAGCACTGCAGGCTACTGCTAGATCAGCAGGTCAGCGGTTCNGATCCCTGCTCCGGAGCTGTCGGGACAAGCTCCGGAGCAGGGATCCTACGAGGAACTAAAGACTCTCGGATAACCACGGCCACTCCCCCACCCCTTCTCTGGGGTCGCGGCTTGTGAAGCACCTGAAAACCCTCTGGGCACATCTCGGTGAGGGGGACTCCTCCCTCCGGGCCCAGCCAGGTTTCAGTAATACATGCCAGGTCTGCATGCCAGGTCTACATGCCAGGTCTGCCAGGAAAGCTGATGGCTTTGTAATCACCATTTGGTAAAATGAATGGTTTGATTTTTCTCATGCATATGGAATACGTAGCATCGACCACTAGTAGGATACAACAGAAATAATTAATGTTATAATTTTATATTGCTTCCTACCATGAATATGGTCGAACTTTTATGTAAAAAAAAAGTTCTCTGTAATATACCTTGTATTCACCATTTGGAAATTGATTAATCAACCCTCCAAATCTTCACTTTGCTCAATATATTCTCAGTCAATAGTTTCAAACAAAAATCATGTTCTTTTTTTGTATGTGTGACTTTTAACATAGTTCCTAACAGGCTAAATAAAAGGAATCCTCCCCAATACATCACGCAGTCTGAATGAGAAACATTTCCAAGAAGAAAATTGTATTTATTTTTACTAGAAAAGTTATGGGATACTAGATATAAGCCAATATCCTGCTGTTTCCATTCAAAACGCATTAAGGCTAGCAATTTTCTGTTGCAAGCATTGATAGGAGTACCTTTTCAATTTTACTTTTTTTATTGAGAACATTCTGTTCTTAGTCTGGGATTAGCATCCAATCAAAATTTTGTAGTTTTTTTTTTAAAATGCAAGAAACCGCATTTTATATAGTATATAATATATACATACATATAGGCAGATAAAGGGAAGATGCTATACTTTTTTTTTCAAATATGCGATTACTACAACATAAAGCTAAAACTTGTTACTGTTTAGGGAGGGGCTATAGTTTTATTCAAATTTCACTCTAGAAGAAGGCAATGTCAAAGTCCTGCACTTTTATCAAGATTTTTGTAACCATTTTTACTGTGGTTGTTAGTCGTTAAAAAAAAAACCACACGGTTGTTAAATGAATCATTCAGTCCCTAAACAAATCCAGCTGCCCCAATTGAACTTGGCTTGTTGCCACAAATCACAATCACACAACCACACGGGGCTGCAACCGTTGTAAGTGCAAGCCAGTTGCCAAGGGCCTGAATTGCAATCACACAACTGCGAGAATGGTTCAACGGTCATAATTATAAGGTTGGGGTGTGAGTCGCTTTTACAGAGGCTGTCATAACTTGAAACCATTGTCGTAAGTCAAGGACAACCAATACTACAAAAGAAATGTGGGGGGAAAAGGTTAAGTAGGAGGATTGTGATGGCATCAGGGGCTTGCAGGCTAATAGCTCCCATAAAGGCTAAAGAAGAAACGAAAGAGGAGCAGCACAAATTCTGAGATCCCATCTAAACTCCACATTGCGTTGAAGCTTCAAAAATTAAAAAATATGTATCGACTGTCTTCAACGTGATGTTTTCCAGATGTACAGTATTTGGATTTCAAGTTCCAGAGCTTTTAACCAGAATGGCTAGATTCTAATACTGTCTGTAATTTTTTACAAGCCGTAGTTTCTATACATTTGGAAAATATCCATTTGGGAAAGGCAGATGGGTTGGTTGAATTATAACCTGGCCCACAGACTACCTCGTGATTTGCTATGAAAAACAGAGGCATAATTGTAGCTTTGTCTGTGGAATTAATGTATCTCACCTTTTCTGCTTTAGTTTTCTTTTTATTATTATTGATTTATAATATAAAATAAAAAAGAGAGTAGCAAAGATAAAGGAGGGAAAAGGGAAGAGAAAAGTGTAAGATAAAAGGGGAAAAAGAAAGAAAAGGCATTGACTTCCAACTCCCTTTGGTGCAGTAGAATAAAATAATAACATCAAACCTCAACTTTTTACTTTTATATAATGGTATAAACGAGCCATTTCTATAACAACCAACCTATGTAATTGGTGAAACCCAAATTCAGAGTTTCATTTTTTTTTCCACCTCAAGCACAAGGTCCAGAAGTCATTTCTGCTTTAGTTTTCAGAGTTTGATTTGCATAAGAGAGCGGAGCAGATAATACTTGCTTCAACCGTGCGTAAAATCAGCTTGATAAGCAGCAAGCTAAATGTGAAATCATCTGGTTTATTAGATCAAAGCAATGGCTTGGGTCATCCATTCATTCATTCACTCAGAAATTGGAACCATATGAATGAATTTCTGCAATAAGTCCTTGACGTATGATTACAATTGGGACTGGAAATCCAGTTGTACGTCGTTGGGATTGTAAATCGAGGCACCCCAATTGCTTTTCCAACAATTTCCCAGCAATCGTTAAGGAAAACACCACAGTCATTAAGTGAACAGCGTGGTTGTTATGCGAACCCATTCTTCCAAAAGAGCTTTTTTCCCCCAGGAATGTGGGAAAATGGCAAAAATAGGGGTCACAAATCGTGGTCATATGACCATGGTAAAGTAGAATAAAATATGGATTAAAAATATAAGAATGAAGAGGTTGCATAAAAAGGATAGTTAGAAGCTTGCTTAAAGGGACAGAGAGATGTCATTAGCCTCTAACCAGAAGATGTTTAGCCAACATCCTTATGTAAAAAGTCCAAACCACAAGGTTCAGATAAAGTTCGTTAATGACACGTAGTCCATACCTGTAACAAAAGGCGAAGTAAGACCCCCATCTCCT